GCTCGCTGAGTCCTGTAGTTTAGTTCTATCACTTAGCTAATATCTTCAAACTTTTAGTTTCGTTACCTGATTTTCAATTACCACCCAAGCAGACCCGTAGTTTGCTAGCGTCGAGTCGACGCATTGTAAATATTTAAGAGTTATTAAAGGGTAATTTTAACCCTTGTCTTATACACTTACTAGTATCCGAGTTTTCACACAGAAGTGAACCTGCTGATTTCTACAAGTTCGTCCATTACTTTGCATAAAGCTCAGAGGGTGAACGTGAGTGTTGTTCCCGCTTGGATAGTCTCTGGAGTCCATACATCAGTTCCTGAAAGGTATCAACAAGGGCAGGAGTTCGTCTCTGGTGCTCTGCCCGTCTACCTTCTCTAATTATTTATGGATAAGTTGAAGCTTAAGAAGCATCTGAGACAACAGCAAGCACAGACGAGATTTAAATTACAGAGAAGTAGAAATGAAAATACCTTATTAGATACTGTAATGTTAAGAATATTATACATTCTCCTTATAATATAGGTTTCTTTTAAAGAAATAATATGGTTATATTTATCTTTAGTTTACCCATGGCTTCTTTCGATTTTTCATGTTCTTACTGTAACCACACCCTTCGGAAATTAAATTATACACATAATTTTCTCCTTTTGATTTTCGGATAATAAATTAGCGAAAAAAGTGGGGATACGGCAAGAAATAGGATATATGTACACAAAATATAAATTTAAAGAAGTTTTCCTTTTTTAGAGTTTGCATTACTTCTCGAAAGAATACTGTATTAGATTTTTAAATAATTAGACTTTCAAAGAATTAGTTACTTTAACATTAATGTTTTAAAAGTTGTAAAAAAGCGCACTGATTATAAAAATCCTTTGCAATTATGTTTTATATTCTTCGGGTTCAATCTTCACAATTAGTAATTAATTAAACTACTTGACTTCACATTTGAATACTCTCAAAGGAATTTCTCCATAGATATTTTTTACACCAATTTACAAAAAACTTGAGCAATTTAACAATGCTTTAGGCGCTTTAATTTTCAACTATCTTTAAAACTATTTGCATATCAGATTCAATTACAAAAGAAGTATTCAGTGTGCTTGCCTGGTTTCTGTTTATTTTCTTCCGCTTTAAGGGGGGGGAAAAAATTATTTATCTTTTATTTTTTTCTCTCTCTCTCTTTCTCCCTATCTTTTTTCCTTTGCATTTAACGTTTTATTTATTGTTACCATTTCGAAGAAAATATAATTTTCTTTTTTGATTCGATTATTTGTACTCCTAAGCGATGTAAGCATTCTATAACACTTTATTTATTGTTTACAGTACTTATCGTTTATTGAAATGGAAATTTTGTCTTAAAAAATATCATTTTTTATTTTTGATAAAAGCCTAGGCTCTTCCCCCTTTTTTAATACTTATGAAACTCGCTTCAAAAATAATACTACCCTTAGTTTCGTGAATACGCATTTTTAGTTAGTCGCAGTTTCATAGTTTAAAATATTTGTTGAAACAACAACATGTTTTTAGTAAACACTTTTAGACTTCCGTTCCAAACTGTTAACTAAATATTATTTCAGCTACATAGATTAGAGTTAGATGAAAAGTAATACATTTTCCTCTCCTTTTCCGTTCGCAAGTATATCTGATCTTTTTTTATTTGTTTACATAGTATAAGCTAAGATACCTTTATTTCTTACTTCATTTTAAATGCACTCTCAAATCTACTAAATTACTTTTATGATTTCAGCCTGTTTCCATTTTTTCATACTGTCTACATTTTATTTGCTGTTAGATCTTTCTTTATTGATTTTTTCTAGTTAAGCGACCTATTCCTTTACCAGAAACTCATTTCTAAAGAAAATGTATTTTCTTTCTGAGAGGAACTTTATTTATAAATGTGATAAGAGATAAATAATCTTAGTGAAATTATGTTGTTACATTTTTCTGTGTAATGTAACATAAACAATTTGAGAGAAACGATGCACTGGAGGAAAAATAAGAATACAGGAGACAGTCTATTTAACATTGTGTAAATGACTAACTCGCTAATTTGGCAAGATATAGGTAAGCTGGCAAAGGCTTTGGTGACTAATTTTTGTACCCAAAATTTGGCGAAATTCTTCTCGCCAAACTTGGCGACCATTTGTAGACATTTTCTTCCCGTCCCTGTACAACTAAGTGTAATGTATATTGTAATTGAATAACTTTATTTTATTCCTATACTAGCTGCAATCGTATCCCCCCCTGATATGCCTTCCAATAATGTTGAGATACAGAAAATATTAGAGAGCTCTTGGTGGCCAGACGGGGGAACTTTATAAGACCGAAGAAAGCAACAGTTTCTCATTTTTGTCAGTTTAGAGTAGACTTCGAAGTACTAAGAGACTTTTGTGCCAGCTTTTCTCTTTAGACAAGATTTGCATTACGTTGTGTCTAACGTTTTTAGTGGTTACTGTTTTACTGCTTTGCTTTAGAAGGTGAAGAGATGAACCTTAGTCAGAGTTTTTACAGAACGTTGCAAAAATAACTTTTGTGCCTAGTTGGGTGGTATCTGATAAAATTCTTTACTTTAATTATTGGTTTTATTAAAGGGATCACAAAAATATTCTTGGGATGAAAAAAAATCCGCTTACGCCAGGCTATTTTATACAGATAGAGAGAAACATTTAATGGTACTGTGAACTAAATAGTATTATATATATGTGATAATGTTCTCTAACTTAAGATATGCGATATATGCATTGTATCGGGTCAGTCTCTAAGTTCGAGTATGCGTATTAATAATATTAAGAGTATGCGTCGAATTCAGTGTGACGCATTTACTAAAACAGTACAATTCTGAACCTGTTGAAACTTGCCATCGTTTGACTAACATATTATTCAGCTCATCACCAACTTTCGTAAATATCGAACGAATTTTAGTACCCATAGAAGACGAATTAGGTAATGAGTGCAAACGTGCTGTGAAAATTGTTTTTTTATTTTCGTGTGGTGAATCTGCCATGTTTGCAGCGATAAAAATTAATAGTGTACATGGTGAACAAACCATAAGTGTAAGGACTGCCCAGAAATGATTTTAAAAATTTAAAGTTGGAAAAAGCAACATTGATGCTGAACCCCGTTCAGGACGTTTTCAACTGTTAGAACCAAAACAAACGATTCATTCAGAAGTTTATAGTGAACAACTTTGCTGTCTAAACTCGGAATGGATCTAAAAAACGCCCACGTTTGGTGAATATCAATAAAGTGTTGTTTCATGATAACGCTAGATCGCATACGGCTCGAACAACTCTGCACAAAATTAGTGAATTTAATTGGGAACTTTTGCCGCATCCTGCTTTCTCCCCATATATTGCCTCAAGTGATTTTCACTTATTTCGTACCTTACAAAATTTTTTACATGGAAGAAAATTAAATTCTAAACAGGATGTACACAATAAACTTTCAAGTTCTTTTGCATCAAAACCAGAGTCTTTCTACAAGAATGGCATATAAAAGCTGCCTGTGAGATGGCGAGACACTGCAGATAATGGAGGAAAATATATAATTGATTAAAATGTTAAATAGTGGTTTTCTTTATATTATTTAAAAATTTACCAAAAAATGGGCACGAATTTATGGACTGACCCAATAGATTCCGTAGATGCAGGAGTCGAGAAATGTTGCATTCAAATATCAGCTTGCAAAAGGTAAATATTTATAAGTTATTATTTTCGTTGGAAATGTTAGCAAACGAATCACTGTAATATGCCTTTTTGAAGGTAAATCGAAATGAGCCGTCTTGGTTAGTTTAAACAGGCACACGATTATGATGTTTATGTAACCAAGTCAATGTTTAAGTATTTATTTAAAAATATTTTATGTGATCAAATTTTTCAACCACAGACCTAATGCCCATTTGCTCAATATCCACTATACTTCTAGAATACAAAATGGATGGTAGAAGTCTTCAGGCCCCACGGTAGAAGATTACACCGGTTTGAGGAAATACTGTTGTATTATATACTAAGAGTCTCAGTTTCTTCTAACTTTATCTTTAACGAATTGCATTATTCATTTTTGTTCTCTTGATATCGAAAAAAATGTTTGTGCATAAAGGTTATCTCGTGCATACATAGCAACTCACGCAGAAACAATACCATAATTACGAAAGGCGTAAAATTAGAAGTACACGAGAATCGCAAGAGAATTATTATGAAATTTCAATTGTATTCCAATAAATATGCTATTTAAAGTAGAATGATTTTTCTAATTTTATTCTCTTACCTTCTAGCCTGGTATTGTTTCATTTGTGTTACTTTCGAAGATCTGACTAATGTCAGCGTACATTTTTCGGTAGTCTTATGTTATCAGGATTAGATTTAGAAATGTATGAATGCATGTGCGTATATGTGTGTGTGCATGCACACATATACATACGTACATACATGCATATTGTAACACATACCTCACATACATGCGCAATATTTCGGTGAATGTAACAGAGGAGTACTCATTTTTTGGTTACATTTTTACGCGGATGATGATAAACATTCTAAATTTTAAATGTTTATAACTCAAAATATCAAGTTATTATAAAAAAAAACATTTTTTTAATCATTAGTATTTAAGTAACATAAAAGTTCCCGAATTTTTGTCCGTAAATAATTAGTATATTTTCAAAGGAAACATTCGCCACTAGAGATAAGGACGGTTTAAAATTTATCAAAACTGAGCGAAAAATATAATATTATCTATCCTGAACCCTATATTAGAAATCAACGTTGTCTGTGGTTGTATGTTTCTGGGAAAATATCGAAATAAATTTTTTTCTAATTACCCGACATCAAGATTTTTTAGCAAACTGATAAAAGTCTCAGCCCAAACGCTGTTGTTACGAATACCCCTTTATATTTATGTTTTAACTTCTAATGCAATATTAAGATAGGCATACATTTAAAACTTTTTGAAAATATTAAAATATCTTTCTCACAAACTAACTACTCAAGCGAATCAAAACTTACATTTTACACGCAGGAACACTTCATTGCTTGTACCAGTTCCATCGCTATTGCTAGCTGAACATCTGTAATTCCCACGGCTGGTTTGATTTACATTCTGCAACACAAGCGTTTGATTGCTAATGATGATTCCAGCTGATGTATTCGTCCTCAATTCTTTTCCTTCAAAAAACCAAGATATTTCGGTGACCCAGGGGTTGGCTCTGATGTTACATTCAAAGAAGACATCATTACCTTCCTTTACTTCGCCCTGACGGAAAGTACTTCCAAGTTGAAGAGTCACCTGAGGAGCATCTGAAAAAGCATATAAAAGATTATTTAGCGGTGATCCAAAATTTTTATACTTCCTTATTGTCATATAAAAATTTATCATAAAATTTTATTTCAAAATACTCGGAAATGGATTCTTCTCCTAACATGTCCTGTAAACGTACGTTACAGAGTCATTAGGATTTTTGGAAGCAGTAAAGGTGAAAAATATGCAGTGTCCTCGCCGAGACTCGAACTACTATTTTTAGAATAAAGAAGCAAAAGCATCAAATATCTATAGCTATTTTAAATTGTAATTTTATCTTTTATATATTTTTTATCTTACATTGGTATGTGAAAGGATGTCACCTTTCACAACCAACAGATGGCGCTGGATGCCATTGGGTCGAAATATATATAAATCTTTATGCGATTCCCAAATTCCATAAAACACCATTAAAATTTAGATTTATAGCTAATGGAACTAATAATTACAAGAAAAATATAGACTATTATTTCTATTGCTGGATCATTCATAATAACACTCCTGTCATTAATACCATTCATACCATTAACATCCAAAACATTAATTGCTATGACTTTGAAAACTTATATACCTCACTTCCTCTAGAAGAAATCTATACCAGTCTACTTGATCTAACTAAACTCTTCCCTGATATGCTCAATATCATGACTCTTGACAAATGGAAAACCTACCTAAAATGCACACTTTTTCATAACTACATCAAGTTTCAAAATCAAATTTTTAAACAAGTCAGAGGATTGCCAATGGGCTTACATTCCAGCACCTCGATCTGTAATATCTTTTTATTTGTCAAAGAATTTAACTTCCAAAAAAATCTACAACCACAAGATTTTAAATTACTACAAACACACCTACAGATATATTGATGACCTTATTACAATTAATAATTTTGATAAAATTGAACACTCCGAGATTTATCCGAATTGTCTTACACTTAATAAAACTAATAATTCACAAAATAGCATAGACTTTCTAGATCTTCAAATCATTAACTACAAAAAAAATTTTACTTTTTGACAAAACAAGAAACTTCAATTTCAATACTAACAAATTAATAAATTGGAACTCCAACATATCCAAAAAAGTAATTAACAATACTATAATTAATCAAATACAACGAATTAAAACTATATGCACAGATACAATAGATTTACAACGCGAAATTTTGCTCCTTATTAAAATTCTCAAAAATAATCTAATTCCCTTTCAATTTATCAACCATTGCCTTAAAGAGAGCAGGCGTTAAATACTCACTCTAAATCATTTAACTGATAGGGATATGATAATTTGTTCCTAAACCTGAGAAGGCGGTATAAGTTGGATGACTATCAGTTGAAGGATTTGTATATAGTGTAATTACTCAATTGTACATATTGTAAAAAGCTAATTGTCTTCAGACATCATGCTGTTACTATACTGTTACTAAAAAAATGGGCCTATTTCATGCCTTTAGACTGTCTAATAGCTCTTGGACAGTGAAAATTCCTTTTTTCCTTTCTTAAATTCTTAATCATTGCGACACGACAATTAGCCAGAAATTAATTAATTTCCATTCACTAGTATTTTCAAAAAAATCTTAACAGACACGGTCTCTCTCAAATAAGAACTCCACATAATACATCCCTCAAGAATTCCGAGTCCAACCCACTACCATAAATTACTTCACCCAAGTCTTACCGACTGATATTATTCAAAGCCCCCACTGCCGCTAAGAATTTTCGGACACCCTACACTTCTGAGTCAGACACGAAGAGAACACTTTGCCAACTCCCCACTAGAAAGAATGTAAGTTACTTAATACCTTTCTGGCCTTTATATCTTCATGTACATTCACTGATCTTATTTATATTATATTATTTTTATTTTATATTATTTTTTATATTTTCTTTGATTTGTTTTTACAAACTTTTGCATTATTTATCTTATTTTGTAATCTTCTATGTTTATTTCAACTTTACTTTGAATTCGATTTCATAATGACAATTTCCAATGTTTAATTTCTACAAATAATATAGTAACTCAAATGCATAAACATGAAGTGTCGGGGACGGTTACTCGAGTTTATCAGGATTTCTCTACAGTAATTGATTTTTACTCCAAATTGAATTGACTAAAATTGCTTCATAAGAATAAGTTCTTTGAGTATCAAGCATTAGGATCATAATCCCTTCTATTCGCGGAAATATTTGGCCTGACTAGAATTGCCGGTTTGGCTTTAACTTATAACTCGAGTAAAGACGAAACACTTTCGTATTTACGTATTTTTATCAATTATTGTTCATTGAACGGGAGTTGGTTTGTTCCCCTTGAAAAGTCAACTTAATTTCCGATCAATGACAATGATTACATGTTTTTAATTTTTCCTTTTACAATTGAAATTTATTATTCTTCATGATGATTTAACTCCAGTCCCCGTTAAAACATTATTTAACATTTTGCTTTCAAATTACTTCAAAACATCTTTCAAAATATAACTTACCAGTATGGATTCACTCTTTTAAAATAATTCTACTTTAATTAAACTTAGGAGATAATATAATCAATTAATCAATACTGTTTAGGAAAAATAATTATATATATATTATATATATATATATATATATATTAAAGCGACGGCAGACGATATCTCAAACTGCATTCTACCAAACAGCTTTGTAAAACTGATTATTTCATTTCTAAGAAGACGTACTTTTCAAGTTAGATGCGGCGATTCTATCTCCAGCAAGAAAGTAATATACAAAGATGTCTTTCAGGGAAGCGTCCTCTCATCGAAATTATTTTGCATTTTTGTAAATGACATGTCACAGCCTTTGTCTTCAACTGTTTTAAGGTACGCGGAGGATACCGTGGTTTTAATTAACTTCCTGAACCCTCAAAATGCAGTAGACAAGCTGAAGTACCAAATTAATGAAATAGATGCATGGTGCAAGCTGTGGAAGATTAAAGTGAACCCTTCAAAATGTAATATAGTGATATACATACGGTATAAAAATGGTTCCCGCTTATTATTGATGTAAAAATAGACAATATTTCAATTCCTATTGTAAACTCATATAAATATCTTTAAATACATGTAGATAGAACTCTCTAATTTCATAATCACATGACTTACACGACAAATAAGCATTCATGACTATCTACCCGTTATTAGGATGAAACTCAAAACTGAATTATAAAATTAAAAGAACATTATATATCACTTTAATTCGCCCAGTTTTATTATATGCCGCTTCGGCTTAGGCGATTGCAAAGAAAACCGACACACAGAAGATGAATGTACTGCAAAACAAAATACTTCGGTCCATTACGAACGCTCCCTGCTTTATAAGAAACTCTCAGCTTTACGAAGGATTAAAAATACTGCCAATTCATGAACAGATTCTGACTACAGCGCATAACATTTTTACAAGCATGCATAACTCACTTTATCTTGCCATTCAGAACTTAACTACCTACGGTCTCACTCAGGAGAGTAGTAAAACGTCCACGTTCAATCCACCACAACCCCCGGTAGTGGTGATGTACATAATGTAAATATTTTCGTATTTATTCTCATTTAATACTCGTATTTTTCAACTTGTGTTATGTTTTGCACCAAGGACTTTGTGATTTTATTAATATTGACAAAACCAATGAACTGTGCACCATTTATGTAAATAGCCTAGTTTAATGTTATTATGAAATATGTTTGGTGTATTTTCAATGGACTTTGAAATTTAAAGCCAGTGAACTGTGTAACATAAATATTCAACGAACTTGGAAATAACTTACTCTCTGAAGCACAGTCCGAAATACTCCCCTCTACAATTCCCATTGGATTACGAGCTTACATGAGACCAAAAGTGCTTTTCATGAAATTTGATTTATTACGTCTAAGTGTTAAAGATTTTACTCCATTTTTCAACTTAAAAATTCTTAAAAGGCCATAGAAAGTGCTAGTTAGTAATTAAATACTTTAGAATTTACATGATTAATTAACTTAATTCGTTTTTTGCGTCTCTTCATCATGACCGCCCTACTTAATTCATGGACAAATCAGAATTGGACTTTATGTCATGTGACTATTACGATGTACGTTTTTCTCCTGCTATACGAACGCTCACGTAGCTTGCTCAGTTTTTGTAAGATATCTTAAGCCGCACTTACTCAATTACTTTCGGCAGCAATTTATTGCTTAAATGATCTTAACTCAGCATACTGTGTAAGAATTTGAACTGTTACAAAAGATTGATTCCCCTGACTTGCCATCTATGTTTTCTTGTTTTTTCGTCCCCAGGACGCGGCACACGACATAATGTGCCTTTGAATTAATTTAAAAAGATAAAGTGAAACCCCAACGGCCAAGATATCTACTGGTATATACTCGTTCGAAGTAGAGGCCAGATGTGAAACTGACGATCCAGATCCAGGCAGACAAAATCACCATTGAAGTGAACTACGTATGTAAGACGTTGATCTCTGAAATAAAAGACGTTAAACTTCTGTAAGTACATTTTGAATTCATTCCATACGTAATCAAATCGTCGTTGATAATCTTCATTAAATGCACAAGTTAAACAGTCACTTCGTGTTTAACCTTGGATATGTGTTTTAACCCTGGACAACCGCGAGCTTCCAACCCATTTAAAAAGTTGAGTTCTACAGGTAAGACGGAATTTGCGTATATTTACATTTTCGCCAAAATTCGTATGTAACACATGAAAGTAACCTAAGTCAAGGACTTTTGAAATGAGGTTTTCATGCTAAGGAAGTTACACAGAAATTTTCAAGAATACGGTAGTAATATTTTAAGGTAATGTATCAAAGTATTAATCCTTCCACAATTATAATACTAATTATCATTAAAATAAAAAATATATAGTGAAAAATGCTTTTAAAGTAAGAAATGACAGCCATGTAAAAGGATTTGATATCGAAATTTGCAAAATTAATTAAGATGATCATAGTTAAAAAAGTAAAGCTTACAAAAATGCTTCTTATAAAGAATATGCTTATAATA